GTCATCTAGCGGAGTTTTGCAAAACGAAGTATGTACCGAAAGACATATCAAAAGACAAAAATATACGTTGTTACAAATGCAATAAAAATGGACACAGCTAAATATTGTATTACGGGTTTGAACTGACAATGAGCTTCTTTTACATGTTAATTAAAAATCATTAAGAAATTTTTAGCGGTATATATATATAATTTTTAACAGTTATATATATATATAACAGATATATATATAATATATATATAATTTCTAACAGTTATATATATAACGTTAAAAAAGCGTTTCTCATACATACGCACGATGTATTGTTTATTGTATAGCTGTATGGCTGTATTGATCCTTTTTACGACTTTAATAAATGTTATTTTATATGTATTAATGCTACAAGTGCACTGTGTATATACGGTAATAAAAAAGATAAGCGTCATAAATTTAAGACAGATTCTCTCTCTGTCTCGGAAACTAAACTTTTGTCAACATATACCTATTTACATTTATTCTGCAAACACTACCGATGATTGTCGGTATCGTTGCGCAGCTTTTCTTTACATATAAGCCATATAAGAAGGACTGCGCAACGATACAGACAATCGTCGTTAAACGTTTGCGAGTCCCGGTACAGTACGTATCATTGTCGGAACGTGACGGTCCATGCCGTACAGTCTGAATCGACCTTAATGTTTCTGAACATGCTCATTTTCCCTTTTTTTCCATTCTTTCGTTATTTCCTTTGTTTAATTATCATTTTTTAGGGTTTCACTTGGCGCTCGCAACGTTCACTTTATTTGTCCCCTTTTGACATTCGATTAACAAGGACGAAATGATAGTGTCAAGGGCGTTGCGAACGCTAAGCAGCCTACGAAATAATTCAATGTTGTGATGAGATTGCAATACAGCGAGAACGTATGTACATTCGGTTTCATAATCTTAAAAATAGGGGGGAGGGAGCCTTGTCTGAGAAAAGAATTTTTACAAAAAATATATCGATTGCGTAATTAATCGCAAGATCGCTGGCAAAATAATCGCATTAAGTTTAGAATCTTTTTTTCTTTTAATCGCAGCCGATTTTCTCTTTAGCGAATTCAATATACAGCGAATAATAACGATAATAGTGAAATTAAATATGGAAAATTCGTGTCATGTTATTTCTATTTGGCACGAAAAAAAAACGTCCAATACAAACGGTGATCGTTCGTGATTCCTTTGTTTTCAAATATGGATTATTTTCGCGCAACTACGTCGTCGGAATTTGATCTCAACGATCCACTCACCTTTTTGGCGTTGAGTTTTCGATCGTGTTGGTACTGTCAAGTTCGTAGCTCTCGTCGATGATTACTCGTTCGTCAATCTCTCTCGAACTGCCGGCGACATCCTCCTCGTCGCTGTCGGAGATGACGACGGAATCGCCCTCGACGCGGTAACTCGAGGAGTCATCGCGCCACTGCGTGAAGCTTTTCTTCATGTCTCGCTCGAGTACGATTCCCGTGGCAAGTAAACGCGTCTAAAGGCGAATAAATAGAAGACAATCCGCAATCCGCGTGTCACTCGTCCACGTTTCAAGTTTGTCACTTTGTCCTCCCGTTCTATCAACGTCGCGAATAGCCGAGCACGCGGTAGACAACTCCAGACAACTCTGAACTCGTACGAAGGACGAACCGGCACAAACTTGCATGAGCTCGCGGGACAGGTCACAGGACAGCGCAGTAGCGGAAAACCACCTAAGTTTTAAATCCGTTGCCAATGGTAGACGGATATACCGTGGTACTCAGGGATTTGTCACTAGTTTAATCCACAGTCTGCCCACAGCCATTCACAACGATCGGTGCTGGGAGTTTTTCCTGTTGGGCCAATCAGCGACGTGGACAAATCGGGTCTCATTCAAAATTTGTTTGTGCATTCGCTAAAGTTGGCATCGCATATCAAATTCTCCATTATTCGCTATATTACCGTATTTATATATTTTGTGTTTTGGGATTTGGAATCAGGATTGCATTGAGGTTATATTGCGTGTCTATTGAAAAGTCATGTCAGAATTTCAGATTGAGAAGAGATAGTTGTTCTAATTTATAATGAAGTAAGTCATTGTTTTCGAGAATGGCAGCTTTAATGAAGAAACGAGTACTAGCTGAATTTAATCAGAGCCAGGCGGTAAGTTTGTAATCGTGTGTTCCTTTCTATTCGCAAAGCCGGCAGAGCATAACTGGTGAAAATTTTTCTTAGAATTTTTCACATAATTTTTCAGAATTTCTATGTAAATTTCAGAATTCTTCAAAATATCTGTATAATTTTATAACTTTAGAAAATTTCTTCTTTCTAGATTTGTTAGACAATTGGAATACTTTACAGAAGTTCTGAGGAAGCGCTTCTACGTCTTTTCTATATTTATATACGAGAATTCTGAAATATTCTAAGAACTTCTAAAATTTCTCATTCTATGATTTCTGACGAAAACTTATAAAATCTGAAAAAGTTTATATTTAGAAATTTTTTCATAAATTTAAAATGTCGAATTCTTAAAAGTATGAAATATGAGAATTTTTTCCACCAAGAAAATCATTAATTTAACAAGTTACAAAATTTCTATTCAGATCGTTAATGAGCCGCCAACCAAACGATTAAAGACTCTAAGGCTATTATCGACATCTGGTTCGAAGAACGGTACTGACAGCAGCTCGGCATTAGCTTATATAGAATGCTTGGAAAAATGCAAGAGTGGTAATGACGCATTACAACTACTCGTTCGTATTTCGGATGCTATAGCGTATATAGCACCAGAGGATGTTCCCATTGCTGTAAAGAAGCTAGCAGAGAGATTTGCTGTCGAGAATGAAGTTGCGGTGAGAGCCAAGATTTTCTGGGTGTTTGCTGAATTGGGAGAGGTGACGCCCGACACATTGGAGAAGGCAAAAATTGTGAACGAAACAGCGGAACTTCTGAGGAACGAGGAGTCGCACAGAGTGAAGAGTCAGGGATTGGCAACGTTGTTGAAGTTGGGAGATTACCAAAGGTGTTCATATCTCACTGTATCTCCTCTTTTCCCTTTTATTTACTTTTTAAACTATATAGTTTTCATGCATATTTGCTATTAAACTATAAATATTTAATTAAAGGAAATAAAAAAATGCTTTTTTCTATTAATAAATTAATAAGATAACTTTTCTATTAATAAGAAATAAACTAATAAATTATTGAGAAGAAATATTTTTTGTATATTCAGGGCGCTGGTGTTGAAGATTGCGCAGGAACATTTGCCTGACACATGGCACGGTGTTCAAACACGATGTCTTTCGATCATTGGGCGTTATTTAACAGCAAATGCTGCTGATGATACCTTAACGCTAATTGGCAATTATGCCCACTCTCAAGATCCACGGGTTCGTGCACAGGCTTTCGAAACCATGGCGGAATTGCATTCTCACAGAGGTTGTAGACTCCCCGCGAGTTTCTTTAAGGAAGCCTGCGCAGCTCTTCGCGACGATTACGAGATCGTACGCCGAGCTGTGCTGAAACTTATCTGGCTCTTAGGAAGGGAATATCCAGAAAAGTCAGTGCATCAGTATTTAAACGTGATTTTAAAGATGAAATCGTACGACAAAACTCTTTTTTATGTTTCTTTTATTACATATTACAGTATTATTGTTGGGTCCGATGGAGAGGATGTACGTATGGTGGATTGTGCCTTTTCACAAATTTGCAGTCTTATGGGTGATTTATCACCTCGCGTTAGAGCCTCGGCAATGTCGCTTTTGGGAACCATGAAAAGTGTATCGCGTCGTTACATCGAACAAGCGTTGGATAAGAAGCAAAAAGTAGTTGAAGCAGACAGACCTGAAGTTGAAGAAAAAAGTGGATCTTGTGGAGCATTTATTCATGGTTTAGAAGATGAATTTTTAGAGGTATAAATTTATCGCGATACGATAACAGTTTTCTTAAAATATTTATTAAATCGTCAAATCAAAAGTTTGACTATATACAATCTTTAAAGCATTTTTTTATCAATTTGTAGCGTTAAATGGATTGCACCCATAGATATATAGATTACTGATTCTATCTCCCACCATAGTATTCTTATCTCCAATTGAATATCGCCATATTGACGAAGAAAGTGTCCACGCATGCACGTTAACCATTACGCGCGTATCTCTCACCACAAATTTTCGTCTGAAATTATCTGCACTTCTCTCTTGTAAATCTCTGACCATAAATATGACTAATCAAATTGAATCAAATCTAACTTGACAGTTAACGTGCATATGTGGACACTTCCTCAATTGGATACACAAATGTAATGCGTATCAGCAATCTATATATCTATGATTGCACCCTTTATTATATCAATTATTATTCAAAACTTGATTATAATTAACCATCTTTTTTTATGATTATTTTTCATATCGATTGAAAATAAAAATCATTTTAGGTAAGAACAGCAGCGGTTGAAGCACTCTGCACACTTTCGTTGGAACAACCAAGTATAGCTAGAGTTTCATTGGACTTCATGGTGGATATGTTCAATGACGAAATTCAAGATGTCAGATTAAGAGCTATCGAATCTTTAAAGAAAATGTCAGCAAGCGTGACTCTTCGAGAGGACCAGTTGGAAACAATTTTAGGCGCGTTGGAAGATTTCTCGGGAGAAGTGAGAGAAGGCTTGCACGCTATGCTAGCCGCTAGTCATCTCGCCACCACAAATTGTCTTTACATGTGCGTTAATCGTTTGCTAGATAATTTAACTCGATATCCTCAAGACAGGGAGAGTATCAGGAGTTGTTTAGCAGCATTGGGCGCGTCACATCCGTACTTAACGTTGCCTTTAGTACCGCAGCTTCTTGGCCGACATCCTTTCTTCGACACACCCGAGCCAGATGTGGATGAACCATCTTGTATCCTTTAAATCAATTTTCATTGTAGTAAATAGTCTTAGATTTTAAAATTATAATATCCTTAACTTTTTATAACAGATGCAAGCGTGCTCGTTTTAATCTTCAATGCCGCGTTACACTGTCCGAGTATGCACGCTCTCTTTACAGAACATGCTTCCAAACATTATCACTATTTGCGCGACACTATGCCGTATCTAGTTCCGCGATTGCGACCAGCGCTTACTAGTGGTTCAGGAATCAAAATGGAAGATATGGTTGACGAAGAGAACAGAGATCAACGTGGTCGAGAGTTCTTGGAGAAGATGGTAGTTGGAATCGAGAATGCTAGACCAGGCGGGAGAGTTCATACGCAGCTTTTAGAGACCGCAGCCATTGATCTTGATCGTCTGACAGAGATGGATCATCAGATGGAAGGTGCGGCACGTTTCACCGCCTTATATATTCGATGTCTGCTGCTATTGAAGTTCGTTCTCAAAGAATGTTCCATGTCTTCGACGACGTCTATTTTGGCAAATCCAGTGCCGAATACTAACAATAATATTTTCGTTCTCCTTCAGCATACGCAAAAGTACGTATTTTTAATTGGAGAGGCCATTTTGATAAATCATATAATTTTAATGATAAATAAAAATTATAAATGAACTTGGTCATTTTCTAGATTACAACGCTTATTTAGCGGATTAGGCGAGAATGAAATTATATTAGCTAACGATATGTGGTTGAAAGCACTGGCTATAGAATTAGTTAGGGTGACCAAGAGTGCAACCGGCAGCGCGTTACCACTGGCTCGTTATTTCTTATCGGAAGCCGACGCTTTGCCTCAAGATACATCGAGGCTGCCACCGTTTTCCAGGGCTCTGGTTCTACAAATACCCACTTTGGCAGACGTGAAACCGGGTTCCTTGACACGGCTTTTGTTGCCGTTGCTTTTGACGCCGGTGACACAGGGGGAAGAACGATTGCCGAGACCGTCAGCGACAACGCGCTTCTGCCGAGCGCACATCGAGGAACCGAGAGGCGATGCCGATGCCGCACTAAAATTCACGGGCGGTCTTTTACTGGGAATCCCTCTGAACGCCAAGATATTAAATTTACGCGATCCTTCTACTCTGCGAATAAAGCTGAGACACCCGGATCAACAAGTGCAATTACTGTTACCGCGACAGTCAGATCTACGTAGGCAACAGTCCGACCAGAAGGATTACAGATTGAGGACAACAGTTCTACTATCGCATCAAGTGTGGATGGAGCCTTGTAACGTAGAAATCTCCCTAGCATTACTATTGCCTTCATCTTCGATTTGCACGCATCCACCTTTAGATGATCCATGCGTGATTGATTTGTGTAAACCTACCAAAGTATCGATTGCACCGAAAGCCATCAAAAGAGGCATATGATTACATTATTGTGTAATAATCATTTAATTTGTATGTATCTTTATAGATCAAGACTTAATACTTTACACAGAGAATTAGTTTGTTAATAAAAAAAATTGTAATTTAAACAATTTGTCAATTTCTATATTCAGAAACCATTGTGATATCAGAATAATGAATTAATGATAGAGATCAAGATAAGTCTTTGTGATAAGATCTTTTGTAAAATGAGCCTAGAAACGCTTGATTATTTGCGTTAAATATTATTAAACAGTATTACTGAACAATAATAAAGAGTAACGAATAAAATGAATAACGAATTTTCTAAATAACTTTGAACAATAGTTTCTCAAGCGAAAAATCTGGCTTTGTTTTCCAGTCTTGTCTGACGTAAACTAAAAGAAATATTTCAAAAAATATGATTTTACAATTTTAGAAACAATAACAATAAAAATGAATATTCACGAAAAAAGAAAGAAAAAATAAGATAATCGCAACTTTCATTCAATGTTCATTCATGTTTAATGTGAGAACTGGCGCGCTACATTACAACTTGCATTCAGGTTCAAAATATTTATCAATCGTTTTTTCTTGATTTGAAAATGGAAATGTTTTATTGTGAAACTTAGATCTGTTCTCTCATTTATTACAAGGTATAAGACATGATAGAATGTGAGCTCCTTTTCATAAAAAGTACATCTTTTCGATTGTAAAACAATATGTACACGATTGTAATTTGATAACTTACTCCTTATTCAATAGAAATTTCATAATCTGCTAGACATGACGTATGACAGGTCTTGAAGGTAAATCTGCCGCAACCATATTCTATTCATCTCCAACTGGAGAACGAACTGCTGCTGAAATAAGATGATTGTTTATTATTTGGAAATTATTTCTATTTATTTTTTATTATTTCATTGATTCGAAAATTTATTGACGCAAAAGTTGCTACATACGCAGTGAACGTTGGTTTCTCTGGTTCTGAATTCTTCTGGGCTAAGCTACCGAAACTGAGACCACCTGACTGATTGGCTAAAGATTCGAACGTACTGCTGCCTGCCACTTCTCCAAACACTTTTGGCATATTTTCCATTGTAGATCCAGCTTGCATGGCAGATGGACTTCCAAATCCTATTTAAACATTCCTGTCTTATTATAAATAAATAATAGATGCAGAATAATATGATTATGCTGTACAAAGTTTTTTGAAGACTAATGAGACTAATTGGGACATTATCTGTAAAAGCTGGAGTTGAAAGAGCTAAAAATACATGCGAGATTTCTCATATTGTTCTTCACAAGGGTAAATATACATATAAATGAGTATAGATTTACATTTTGAGAATGTTATAATAATATCAGCTATTTATTTACCCATGCCAGGAGATTCAAACGTAGGGGGTGAACCAAAACCAGCACCTCCAAAAACAGGTTTCGCTCCCCCGAAGATGGGTGACGATCCGAACACTGGCTTGGCGCCAAAAGCGGGAGCTTGTCCGAAAGCGGGTTGGCTGTTGAGTACAGGTTGCTGTATAGGAGACGTGTTAGGCACAGTAGATCTGAAGACATTTACGCCTGCAGGGGAACCACTAACTGCCGCCGGCGACGTGTTGCTCGCTGCACCACCAAACGGAGAAGCGGGTGTATTTGTTGCTCCACCAAACACGATACCGGGTTTCGGGGCGTTGGTATCGAATATAGATCCCGATGAGGCCGTACCAAATCCCGTTGTGTTACCCCCGAAGATATTTCCGCTCGGGGAAGTCGACCCGAAGATAGAATTCATACTGTTGCCTCCGAATATAGAGGTGTTCGTAGAGGTAGCGGGCGTATTGGAGAATACGGAACTTGAGGTGTTGCCGAACGGTGACGATGCGGGACTGATTATCGGCTTTCCAAAGACATTCGCCGACGACGCGGGCGGCTGCACACCCGGGAATTGCGCGTTCGACACCGGAGACGCTATCGGGCTCTTACCGAACGCCGGCGTGATGGAGGTTACTGTCGTCGTCGTCGCCGCAGGCATGCCGAACGAGATTGTGCCCGCGGAGGTGTTACCAGAGCTGATCCCGAAACTCGTGGCTGACATACTGGCGGCGGTGGTTTCGCCGAACGTCGGTTTACTCAGGGAAGTCTGGAAAGGGGACACGGTGCTGCTCGCAGGCATCGTCGAAGAGCTGGTGGTAACGCCGATCGACGTGTTTGTGAATCCACTGAATACCGACGCAGTGGTCGGCGCCGCTAAGGTTGACGTTCCAAAAGTAGATGTAATCGACGGGAAAGGAACTGCGCCGAAAGTAGTCGTTGCGGGCAGTGTGATCGTCTCTGGCACTGTCGTTGCATCCTTTATGACGGTCTGGCCGCCGAATATTGGTGCCGCGGCTAACGAAATCGGAGCCTGAGCAGTTACAGTACCAAAGGTGGATGCTTTTACTTCAGGCGTAGTGACTTTCTCGATGACGACTGAACTGGTGGCTGGTATCTCCGTCATGGACTTGCGAGCTGCGTTCGCATCTACAACGCTAATGGTAACTCCACCAAGAGTCATAACGGATGTAATGGCAGTCGCCGCGAGAGCCTGTGTTGTAATGACCGGTGCAGCTGCAGCGAAGCTAATGGAAGTCGGAATCGCATTTACCTTTCCGTCCGCGCTGCTGCTCGAGTAATCGGCCTGATGAAGAGTTAACGTGCTGGGTGATCCCAAGGATAAAGCCGAGAGTTCTATCGGCGTCTGCATCGGTACTGTTTGAACTGTTATCGTGGGTTCTACGGTAGGAGTATGGAGTATGGATTTCGAGTAAGCGAAGGACATCATGTCGAGCGGAATACCGGGGGATGAACTTTTCGCAACAGGCGGGGCCGTACTAGGTGTAGCGAAACTGAACGTGACAGCAGCGTCCGTTTTTACAGCTGGCGCCGCCGAGAGTGATGAAAGATTACGTGGGATTCCCATACGAGAGGTCTCTGTTAACGGATATTCTGTTGACAACACGTCCTTTAACAGTCCGGTCGAGAATAAAGCAGACTCCGGGGTTTTAGGGACGTTATCGCTGCTCACTGATTCCTTATTGTTCCTGGCAGTTGGATCTGTAAGGAGAGATTTCGAAAAGAGAATATCTTGAGATTTCGGCGTCGACGTTCCAAATGTGATAGACGCCGGGAAATTAACGTTGAGCTCCTGCTTCGGTTTAGATTGGGACACTGCGAGAACTGCTGGTGTGGCAGGCTTCTTGTCCGCTTGCTTCGTAGAAATCGTACTGGAGAAAGAAACGGTCGTTGGTACCTTCTGTTGGATCTTGTTCTGCGTGACGGCGCCGTTCGTGTCGGACGAACCGATTCTCGCAACGATACTGTTCAATGAAGCGAGAGGACTTTGCGTTTTGGTCTGCTTCTCGACCGGCTGCTTGACAGTGATATTCTGCTTAACAATCGACGGCTCGGTTTTGGTCTTAGCCTCATTGATCACAGGACTATGAGACGCTAAAGAAGACAGCGTGGCCTTTAGACGATCCTGAATCGGTGACGGATTGACCGGCTTGATAATTTTCGGAGATGATTCGGTGAGCAATGTCCTCAACTTGATCTGCTTTTCATGTGTGAAACTCAGAGTCTTCGAGGCGATGGTTTTGCAGCGGGCGTCTATAACATCGGTCTTCCCCCGAATGACCGACGCTGACGATTTCGGCGAACTCACGTGCAGACTCGTCATCGAGCGATTAAGGTTGGACATGCCGTCAGCCACCAATGAGCGATTGAGAGACTTCCATCGCCGCGCAAGCTGCTCGAGTTTCTCTTTTTCCTTCGTGATGATCTTGCTATGCATCAGAAGATTCTGATACACATACTCCAAGCTGGGAATTTTCATCTTCGATTTTACCTGCGCTTTGTGCTCCGACCATTCCAGATCCAAGATCTTATTGACTTGATTCAGCTGCGTTTGCGTGTAATAGTACCATCGTTGCAGATCCGCAATTTTGCTATTTTCGCTGTAATTTCTGGTGGTGATATCAACACTGGCTGCGTTCTTCGATTTGGTTTCTTCAACCCATGCGAATGACTGGAGCAACAGAGCTTTTAAGTACGCTATATCACTGGACAGGCTGTTCGTCGTGTCCTTTAAATCTCTCAAGAACTGTTCTATATAGACGGACATCTCCCCAAGCTGTTTCTTTTCCGCGTCCGTACCGCACTCCCACACCTGCGGTTCCAGTCTATTTCGCAGCTCTTTCTCGAACAACGCCTGCTCCTGCATGTAAGCTTGCATCCGTAAGCTATCATCTATACAAGCTTTCTGTTCTGCCACTTGCGGCGAACTTACTTCCTTATCTACAACTGATTTGATTTCCGGAACCTTTATAGGTTCCGACAGTATTGGCTCTTTAGGTATAATCGGTTTTGCAACCGTCTGCGGCGCAGGTTTTTCTTCTTGCGGTTTCGGCTGTTCTGCTGGTTGTTCCATAGGTGGTTGAAAGAATCCCGCTGCTTTCAAAGAGTCGCCAAATATATTCGTCATCGGAGCAGGCTTTGATCGTTCCAACGTTATCTCCGGCTGCTTCGGACGTTGCGGCGTGCTGGTCGCCGCGGCATTTATACTAAACGATATTTCTGCGGGCAAAGCATTAGGCTGTAACGGTGCTGGAGGCGTGACAATTTCCGTGGGCGGGACATTGATGGCAGGACAGTTGGGTGCCAGATTGACCATGTGAAAGCTGCACAATTTCCCGGACGTTCCAAGAATATGCAAAATGGGAACTGGATGCGGCAACATGGACTCCGTGCCCCACGGCAATTTGTTGGTCGGCGACTTGTCCACAGCTAGGCCCAAGGGATAAATTTCCGTGGTTCTCATCAGCGGCAATTGGGCCCTGCCGCTGTCGATTAATTGCCACTGATTCCAATTCGCGCCGCCATCTGTAGTGCCTAGCACAGCTATTTCGCTGCTGGTGCTACTGCCCGCTATAATGAGTCCCCATTCTGGCACGTGCTCGAAATAATAACGTGGAATGCTGTCCTCTCCCTCGGCGTCGGGAAAACCGTATGTAATGTCTTCATAGCATGTAAAGATAGCATTTGCCTCCCCTTTCGGTGCGTCAACGATGAGAACGTTTATATGCCGCTCATTGTTCAGATATGCGGCACAAAATTGATAATTGCTGAGCCATAGGATGTTAATCACCTCTCCGATGGATGGTGAAGGGCCCGCAATAGTTCTAGCGACCTTCAAAGTGTCTGGCTTCAGTTGTACGATATCTCCATTCTTGCAACCCACTGCTATTTGCTTGCCTTTGGGACTCCAGACTGCGCACAGAGCCTGTGGCTCGTTTGACACTTTGGAAAGTACAGATACTTTTGGTACAAAATTTTCTCTTATCTCTTCATCTATTTTCAATTGAAAGCTACCAATGACGCAGTCACTAGTAACGATGCAAAACATCACAGGTACGGTAGGATTCCATCGTATGTCCGTTATGTAGCTATCTAGCTTGTTCGTTGGTGTTATTTCAAGTAACAGGTTGAGACTCTGAAAATTAACGGATTAATTAACGATAAATATACAACTGTGGGATTTCTATAATACTGAATAAAACGTCGAGATGTTTTGTAAAAATTTCTGCAAAAATATTGCTACGTGCATACATTTCTAGCTAGTGAATGGGCATCATATATCAATACTGTAGGCTTCAATGCTATGCCTATAGCGATATAATTATAATCACAATTAATTGCAATCTTTGATATAACGCCTGGCAACTGAAGTTCTATCTTCCACTCTGCACTGTTCTCCTCCACTGGCTTTAAGACGGTAATTTTATCATCATGTCCTATGTAAAGTAGTCCTCGTTTCTTGTCAGCCACAAGAAGATTGCAAGCGGCAGGAATATATGCAGGAGTCTTCAAGTCAAATACTTGAGATGTACTTGACTGTTTAAATAGAAATTCCTGAAAGTATAAGAGCAACAGTAAACATAAAATCAGATATCAGGAGACATGATTTAAATAGAATATTCTAAGATATGCATACACGAAATGAACAGAATGATTCCTCTGTGTCAAAAAAAGTAATGTTTTTCCTCTAGCAAAACTGTATTAGACTAGTAGTTTTTAAACGAGAGCAATTTAAAGCTGATAAATAAATATTCAAAATTACACATAAATTAAGAGTAACATATGCTGGATATATACACTATTTTATATTATTTCTCTAAAGATTTTATAACATATGCATATCTAATATTTCTTAAATATATGTTAAATAGAATTTATTTCATAAGAAAAATTTAAAAAAATTAATACTTGAATGCAATTTTGAATAAATTCAGGGTTACTCTGCATAAGTATACATAAAATTTTTGAAAATCAACTCTTGTGTTGAGAACAATTGTTGAGACCAAAACTCATAAAAATGTATAAGTAAAAACTTGTAAGTTATTTAGTTATTTGTTTTACATTTGAGAGCTACTTTAGGCCATATATAAAAATCAAATAAGTTAAAGAATTTGATGCAGAAAATGGCTCACAAGGAGACTGAATGATGTGATACTATATGATTTCTACGAAATTCATACAGTATCAATAGGTATCCATATTGAGTAAATGGCAGGATAAAGAACAAAAAATGAAAAAAGATGAAGAGGGAGAAGTTCCACAAAGCAATACAAATTGGCAAAAATTTGTTTTTTTCCTTCCTTTCTCCATTTTCTGTTCTTTATTTCACAGATCCTCTTCTCCTTCCTACTTCATGCTTTAAAACCAACGTTCTAGAAATGTCCAACAAGTAAAGGGATACATTATTTTAAATTACAATTGCATAAAATTACAGCGTTTTATTGCTTTTGCTAAAAAAATAAAACATGTTTCACATTTATTCGTAGCGTGCTACTGCTGCGCCAGCTCTTTGGTTAAATGCTCTACTGAACTTCTTTGATGCTTATCCAGATCTCGAAATTTTTTCTTCATTTTTTTTTACAAAAGAAACGCTTAAGAAACGCATCTTATTCGTTTACTCAACAATATTCGACATGAATACCTATGGATACCTATGAGTTTCGTAGAAATTGCATATCACGTCGTGTAGTCCTTATTTGCTTCATGCTTGAGAACTTCTTCAGGCCACACAAAAGCAAAATGTCAAAGCGAGTTGAGGCACAATACGTGTATTAATATAATCTAATTGATCTGTTAAATAGACATTTTAAAAGTTGACGTATCACTCGTGCGAGACTGTATATCTGTCGAATCTCCGCAGAATCGCCAGAGCAAGTGATGCCCCGTGAGGAACCGAGTAAAGGAACTTGAGGTAAATTTTTTTAGATGATTGTGCAAATGCCAAAGACGATTTTTAATACAACTTCTTCGCCGGTTGTATCCACGATCCATTTGAATCACGCATGTAATTTTTGTTACGAAACGACACGCGGTACCTGCACGTATATTGGGTCCAACGATGTCTTCATTTCTACAGTGTTTTGCAATTACTCTTCTTAAACGATCAATAATAATGATAAATAAGATATAGACCTCGTCGATCGCTCCTCACTCAAATTTCAACAGACGTACTAAAATCAGCACTAACTGCGCAACTTTTGTGATATTCATCCGGCAGTCGGCACTAGGAGTACTAGGACAGTGCAAGCAGAGAGAAGCATGAGCAAGCATGAAGGGGCTTTCTACAATAAGCCGTTAGTCACTACTCATATCATACTAACTAAGAATTGGCCAATCGTAGTCGAATATTTTTCTTACATTCAACTGTGATTGGTCAATTCTTACGATTTACGGCTTACGATCTGACATACGACGTATTGTAGACAGCCCCTCATTGTAGATGGACCTTAAAGGTACCTTTTCATATTGACGCTCGACGCTCATTTTTAGCGTCAAAACAGATCACATGATCAAAATTGACGAATACCAAGCATTAATTTCGATCATATGATCTGTTTTGACGCTAAAAATGAGCGTCAGCATAAAATCGTATCTTTAAACAATGATTAGTTCATTTCTGCTGTTAGATCCGGGAATTAGTCCTGAAATACAATAGGTGTAGGAAGCCTTAAACCTTAAGGGTTCCTGCACACTGGACGCGGAAATGCTTGCCGCGCGGCAAGACACGACGCGGTGGCCAATCGCCGTCTGCAAACCGAAAGAGCATATATATATATATTCTGCCGCGCGGAAAAAGTTCTACTTTTGCCGCGCAGCAAGCGTTTTGACCAATAAAAATGATTTTGTCAAACCATAACCAAAAAAGTGTCTTGCATCATATGTGTAATGACTACAACCCGTAACAACCTGTATATAAACTTTTTGGTAACAACACGTCTAAAAATACGTTGTAGAATACATCAGTCAGAAGAATACATCGGAAAAAAATGGATAAAGAAAGAGAACATTTCGAAATTGTAAGTAATAATTAGAAAGAAGTTATTTATAATATTTTTATAATTATATGATGAAATAAATAAATTTTAAAATTATTTTATTATATCACACTTATTAATACATATTATATAATGTTATTTATATCCCTATATTCTTTTTACTTTTAGTGGTGCAAAGATTGCAATACCTTATTAGATGTCACAGAAGAACATATCTGCTCTACTTCAGATAGTAATATTTGTGATTATCCAGATA